TTGTGCTTATAATTTGACTTTCAGGTTTTTTGAGTCACATTTGTTTGCTATATAAGCATATACTCAGCGTTTTCTTTTTCAATCCAATCTGAGAATGTTTACCTTTTATTAATTTTATGATTGTATTCTGATTCCCTTTATCTGAGGGTAAGGTATGTGTGTCTATTTTTTCTTTTCTTCTGTTTTTTTTCTTTTTTGGTCTTTTGAGACAGGGACTCATTATGTGACCTAGGCTGGCCTTGAACTGCCTCAGAAAGTGGCAAGGATGATGGGATGAGTGTGCTCAAAGTGAGAGGGAGAAGTTTGAGGAAGCTTAATGGCAATGTGTCTCTCAGTATAATGAAGTTTTTCAAATGTAGCCCTTCACTATAGTTTTTGATCACTGTGCTGATCTGCACAGTGTATTAGAGGAGTCGTATATCTAAGGGCATTGGATGGTGGCTTTCTTTAAAGCACAAAGCTGTGTATTCAGTCACAGATTATTTATTGAGGAACTATGATGTGTAAGGCCATAGGAATAAAACAGGGACCAGGAGAGCACAGTTCACAAGGGAAGGGCAGGAAAATAGAAGCAAGGGGTGAATTGTGAAAAAAATTGTAAGTTATTTCCTAATTGTAAATGTCTACCTTGATTAACGATCATAGAATGAGCACCCCGTGTAGGCGCTTCCCAGGTGAGAAGGAATATTTCAGCATCCAGAAGCCCCTGCCTCGTGCTCCCTCCCATTACCAAAGCAATCATTCCACTTTTCACCCCTCATGTAGGTTGTAGTGGTTTCACTTCTTTGCCAACAGTGATACTTCATCCCGGTTTAAATCAGAACCAGGTTTGATTTTGGAAAAGGAAAAGTGTGTGATGTCCTTCTGCCTGGGTCTTACGGAGTAGTTTGTCATCCTTACAGAGGTGGCTGCTGAACTTCGTAATGGAAGAAGTATCTATGGGGTTCGGATGGGAAAGGAGTCTGGGTGCCAGCACTGTACGGGCGCATGGCAGGAGGGGCTGGGAATCGGATCTGGGTCAGGGTCAGGGTCAGGGTCCCCAGTGTAGAACTGGTCTCCCCACTCCCACACCCTCCTCAGCCTCCTGGTTCCCCACAGCCTCCAACTCGTGGGGAGCTCCTGCCCCAGACAGGCACCTGTCGGAGCCACCGGACCCAAACTCTCCTGTTTTGCCCTCCTATGTTCAATCCTTCCGCCTTGCTATTTATGATGCTGGCTGTGAAGCCTATGCAAATGCTTTATGTTGCCTGGGCTAACTAAAAACACCCCAGACCTCCCCAGAGCTGGAGGCACCTGATCTCAAGCCAGGAGCTGGCGGCTGCCCTGGCAGGATGGAGAGTCCCAGCTGGTCAATCATTCACCAATGGAATGGAGAAGGTGGTGAGCTTTTAAACAGAAAGCCCAAAGGGGAAGGCCTCTACCAATGTGTGCTGGGTTTGCCTGGGGCGGAGCTGGCCGAGCCAGGGCTGACAGGAAGAAGAGGCAGGTGACCGGCCTCCCTGGGGCTGAGCCCTCCCTGATTTATGGGATGACCCCGCTGGCCTTTCCCAGGCCAGAAATGGGCTGTTCACAGTGCCTTCCCCTGCCACACGCCTGCAAAGCTGGCAGGTAGGAATTTTTTTTTTTGGTACTGGGGATCAAACTCGGGTCCTTGTGCTTGCAAGGCAGGTGGTGGAACCACTGAGCTAGATCCCCGGCCTGAGGTAGGATTTTAAGGTATATTTACTTGAATGAAGTTTCTGTGTTTTCCTTTGGATAGTTACCCAGTTAATGACTTTGTGCTTTTTGATTCAGAAATGATTTAAAATATCCAGGACGTCAGATTGCATTTTCTCTTTCTCTCTCTCTGTCTCTCTTGCATATATATCTCTTCTTAGGCATGAAAGGGGTGAGGAATGAAGATTTTACAGCTCTGATTTCATTTGTCTCAGGTCGTCGCTTCCTGCAGAAGGCGCCAGCACCTGGCTTGCCTTGGCTCTGGCCTGACTCAGTTAGCAGGGCTGGTTCCGGGCACTCTGCCTGCTTCCTCCCGGAAGGAATGAGCCTCCAGTCTGTGGGACATACTGGAGACAGCCAGCAGCGACAGGGCCACAGTGGCTGACATGAAAGTAGGATGCCTGGGGCGATTTCAGAGTCCTTTGATACCAAAGGCCAAACTCATGAATCTATTGCCGTAGGTTACAGCTGCTGTGAGTACAGGAAGTAGCTTCCCAGAGACCCCTGGGAAAAGGTTATTTTTTTCTCTGGGGTTCCACAAAGTGGACGAGTCCAGTGCCTGTCCTCAGGGGTGCATGGAGGAGTTTTTGGGAGCTCCGGGGCAGTAAAGACTTCAGGGCCTGGCAGTCAGTGGTTAATCAAGGTGACCCTAAGGACTGAAAATCGGTCCCCTACCCTTTCGAAGTCAAGGGCCTCCATTAGGGCTGAGGCCCAAGAGCTCCTGAGGCAGGAGGAGGGAACCAGTCCCCAGCTGACTTGAGACCTGCCTGGACCAGAGCCAAATTTGACTTGCTTTAGAGAAACAAAGAAACATCATTTCTTAACCCACAAAGGGCAGATTGTAATATATACCTCTCATGGAGGCTTCCTAGAAAACATTTGAGCCTGACTCATGTTTCCTTATTTTGGGGGGGGGGGGGGGTTACCGGGAATCGAACTCGGGTCCTTGATACCATTGAGCTAAATCCCAGTCCCGTGTTTCCTTTTTTATTCTGAAATTTGAGGTCACGCCTCCAAAAGACCTTACTGTTGTCCACACAATCCTGGTCAAGACCTCCCAGTGGGGAAGAACTAGGCAGAAGCAGGCATCTACTTGATGGCAGAGAGGTGCTCAGGGGACCCGAGGAACTTGTCTTGGGAGTGGATGAAGCGCTGCCCGAGGGAAGAAATCAAGCTCTTGTTTGGATCAACTTCCTCTTTAGCTGGCCAGGTGTAGGACAGAACCATCATGCCACTTCCTGTGTGCCACTTCTGTTTCCCAAGGGGATTTAAACTGGGACCACTGGATCTGATGTCATCATCCAACCAATCCAGAGCAGATGCTGCATGGAATGATGGTTTGGAAAGAGCCAATATGACCATGAGACAGTTCACTTTATTATCTGGATTCAGACTGGACATGAATATGATTAGATTATTGGTCATCTCCATGTTGGACCTAATGTGTGTGTCCCCTTCTGCTGGTCTGGGTTCAAATCCTGGCACTTGTACTAAATTGCTCTGTGATCCTGGGCAACTCAACTTAATCCCTATGCTTGTTGATGTGCATGCTGGGTTCAATCCCCAGTACTGAAAAAAAAAGCTATTTTTTCATCGAATTCTCATTCATCTTAATGATCAAACCAGTAAATGAAAAGTATTCCTGGCACATAGTAAATGCTCAACAAATCATAACCATTATTGTTAGTCTTCCTCTTGAGCAGGACAGACATATTTTACTGGTGGTAAAATTCAGAGAAAGGATTGGAAGAAAGTTATTTTTCTTTCCTTTTTCTTTTCTATTCTATTAGTTTGAATGTCTTCACTGAACACATCCTGGATTGTGACTGTCGGGCAAGGACTGATAGAAGGTCATTCTGTTTGTAGAAGATTTTCTCTTCTTTTTATTGATTCAGATTTATTCATTTTCATAATGAATAAATACAAGTAGATTAAAATTGCTTGGTTCATCTTAAGCAAATGGTGACTTTTCTGATTTTGATGCCAACCTTGATGGGGTGGCAGATCCCAGCCTTCTTCACCTCTCTGTGGTCAGATTAAGTCCACAGTGTGCGTCACCTACAGGTGTCACCTGCTTTGCGGGGCCTGGAGGTCACACAAAACAGAGAAGAAATAAGTATGTGACCCTCTCCCTTCACCTGCTGCTTTTCAGTGTTGCTAGATGTCCCGAGAGATTTCGGGGACAGCAGCATAGTTTATATGGGTGTGAATGGTGAAGCCCATGGGAACTGGAAGGGGGTGGCCCAGCCTGTGCGCACTCCTGGTTTCTCATGCCCCCGTGGAGGACTGATGGTCCGGGGACCCCTACCCCCAAGTCAGGAGGAAGCCTGAGGCCAGGAGTGCAGAGCTGACCTTGGGCCTTGCTGCCTCCGGGCTCTGGCTGCAGTGCCTTGGCCTTTCCCTCCGGCGCTGTTCTCAGCCTCCTGAGCTCCATCCGGGAGCTTCCCCAGTGCTGGGGCCCGGCCACCGGGGCTCTCCTTCTGCACGCAGTGATGGCCAGGCTCCGGTTCAGTGCCTGGCTGTGGCCTTGCACTCCCACTCAGCCGGGGTTGGGAACAGGCTGAGCAGGCTGCCGTCGGAGGTGGACAAGGACCTGAGCCCCCGTGGCCTCAGGAGCAAGTCCAACTCCCCGGGCTAATGTGTGTGTGGGTGTGTGTGACATTTACAGCTCTCTGCCATGTGACTTATGTCACAGCCAGAAAGGACATCAGTGATCTCAAAGCCCTCGGACCCTCCTGGCCTCCCAGCAGCTGCTCCCAGCTACAAGAGCCATCTCCCTGCTCTCATGACACCGGGAACTCGCCACCCTGAAAAAGAGGCCACTGAAGTCCCACCAGGGCCCTTGGGGACAAGCAGGGCTCCTAAATGGGCTTCTTGCCAATGCCTAGAAAGCCCAGCTACCAGGTGTGCTGCACGGGTTTCCCTTCTCACTTTTGCTTCCTTCACAGTGGGGACTTAGTTCTCATGAGTAGAAGATACCATTGTCCTTACTTTGTGATTGACGTCACCTGTCTTTTATCCAAAGAATGGCCTTCCCCCTGCCCTGCCTCTGAGTTTAAGCAGAGGGTACAGCGACGGTTTTTGTGGGTGTAGGTCAAGCATCTTTGGGATGAGTATTAGCCTGGCGGATTTTCCCATCGTGCACCAGGGTGGCCACTGCCCACATGTCAGGCTCAGCTGTCCTTTCATCAGCATGGCTGTCGGGCCTTGAAATCCTGAGCCCTCCAGGCTGGGACTATGATTCCCAGTACAGCACCGTCTGGAAACAGAAACTCCTGCTGTCCTTTGCATAAACAACCACATCCAAAATGTTTATTCCTGTATCACAAACAAACTCCACTGACCAAAAACTCCGGTTACTTTTTATGACACTCTTATTAAGTCACTCACATAAATACATATAATAAATACAAAAACAGCAACGATTTCTTTTTTAAAGCCTTGGGTATCCAGAGCTTCAGTGTACTCTCAATTCCTGGTCCCTCCCTGTGTTCTAAGCACGTGTCCTCTTGTTCACATTATTTCCTTGGGCACAAAGATGACCCAGAAGTAAACTTGATGCTGGAACCCTGATCAGTCAGCAGGCACTCAGGGAACCGGGCAGGGATGGGGGAGCCACTCACACGTAGTCGTTCAGCCTGTACCCACTGTGGGAAGCCGAGGTCACTGAGGGTGCCCAGTTGTCCTTGTAGGCGGCGGGCGGGCGGTAAGCGGGTGCGGTGCCTGCAGTGGCTGCCCTGGGCTGGGCCTGGTAGGGTCTGTAGGGTGTGTCATCCTGGCAGGACAGGCACAGGAGCATGCCACCAATGAGCGACAGGGACGAGGAGATGAAGCCGAGGTACAGGGCCTGGCCGATCTCGAACTTCATGCCGCTGGGCAGCAGTGGGTTGTAGAAGTTCTCCACCACGTCGTTGGTGACCCAGGAGACAGCCACCATGCAGAGGAGCCCGGCCAGCAGGAAGAGCGCTCCCCCGAGCACGGCGAAGGTGGCTTTGGCCTGTGTGCCCTTGGCGCAGCGCGTGCACTTCATGCCCACGACGGCGGAGGCACAGGCCAGGCCGGACAGCAGGCAGGAGATGACCATGAGCGCGCGGGCTGCCTGCAGGTCGCGGGGCAGCGCCAGCAGCGAACGGTAGATCTGGCACTGGTAGATGCCCGTGCTGTGCCACACGCACTCCATCCAGAGCCCCTTCAGGTAGGACACGGCCGTGAGGATATTGCTGCCCACGTGCGCCGTCCTGCGCCAGTGCGGCAGGAGGGTAGTGACCAGTGTGCCCACCATGCCCAGGAAGCTGAGCAGGAAGCCCAGGAGCTGGACGGCCGTGCTGGCCATGGCCACGGGCACCCGCCTAGCCCCGCTACCGCCAGGCAGCGCCCTGCTCCCTCGGGATCACACCGCTCCTCAGGCACCGGCAGGAGTCCTAATAAGGCCGAGGGAGGCCGGGGAGGGAGAGAAGGGGAAACAGGTTAAATATTATCTCAATGCTTTTATTTCCGTCCCTGAAACTGAAGTTTCTTTAGGCAGTTGGTAGGACCATTAACATTCTGCAAAATTGTTTCTGAGAGTTCGGTAGAATAAACTGCTTTCCTTGGATAAGGGACTCAGGTCAGGGGACCCTGGGAAGGACACTTCCGGTCCCCTGTTTCTGGTTTCCCAGGCCCTACATTTGGGAAGTTCTACCTTATGTCTACTGTCCAGCATTTCTGCTGCACCCCATTTGGTCAGTAGTAACAGCTGCTAAATCGACAGATGTTATTCATCCTGACCGGGATTAACAAGTGGGCTGATTGTGATTTAGAAAATGGCCTTGGGCTGCCTGTCAGATGCAGGAGGCAAGAAGCATTTAACAAAGGGGGTGCCTGTCCCACGTGGAGAGGGAAGAGGATCAGACCCTGATGCAGGTCAGACACTGCCTGCAAAATTCTGGATGGCTGCGACCTAGAGCTTGTCACCCAGTGCCAAAGGACAAGGTTACCAAGGTTATCAGCTCCTTGGCTGCGGAGGGTGCCTGTCCCCTTTGCCCAGGTTAGGTTGAACGTGCAATCTTTCTGCCTCAGCCTCTAAGAGTGCTGGGATTATGGGTGTGCACCAACCACCAAGCTCAGCTCAGATGTTTTAGAAAAGAAATCCTAAGCATAGCAGAATCTGGACCAGTCCATGGGGCAAGGGCCTAACCCATGTATAATGCCTGGCATGTCCCAGATGTTCAGGAAATATGGGAAGGCAGGAAGGCAGGAAAGAAGGGAGAGGTATGGAGGTAAGGTTTTCTATTGTTTCCGGTGACGATTTGTTCCAAGTTCCTGGTTCTCTTTAGACGCCACACGCTGGATTTGCCTGTGTGCTTTGTCGCAGCTTTGGCTTTTCTTAGACCCCACGTAATGTTTTTTTCCCTCCACTTAGCAGGACCTCGGGCTTAGGGCCAGTCATCCTGTGGTCACTGTCATGGTGGAGGTGGGGCCCACCAAGGCCAGGTGGGCGCTCGGGTCTGTGCAGCCTGAGCTGCTGTGAGTGGACCCACCCTGCACCCCAATCTTACTGGGTCCAAGCTCAGTGGGAACACCAACTACATTACCCACTTATTCCTGGCCACCTGAGGCTGCAGCAACTGCCACCCTCCCTCCTTGCACCAAGGAAGCTTGGGGTGTGCAGGGGCTGGCTGTTTTACACCTGACGTGTCTGGGACAATCCTTGGCTTTCTTCCTCCTTTCAACACTACCTTCCCCGATTAAACAGGACCAAAGTCAGCGTGGCAGTGCGCTTTACATCTGTACACCCCCGGAGCCTCATAGTTCATAGGTGGGGCTGTTAGAAGGTGATTGGATTATGGGGGCTCAGAGCTGACTTGCTGCTAGGACCCGGAGGTCTGGTTGGAAGACACGATCACTGGAGATGTGGCCTGGAAGGTTCCTCTCCCTCCCGGCTGCTCCCTCTGTCTGTGCTTCCCAGCTGCCCTGAGGTGAGCAGCTCAGACCCTTCTACCTCGCTGTCTTGCCTCAGAGCCAGCGACTATGGACTGAACCCCCACAAACTGAGTCAAAATAACTCCTCCTTCAAGTTGTGGGCATCAGCAGGTATTGTGTCAGTAATGAGAGTGACGAAGACACGAGGGAACCTAGGGATGGATTCTGGTGTGTTGAATCCCCTCTCCAAAATGTCCCAGAATGGTGGCCTTGCTGCTTTGGCAGTGGCTTAGCAAGCCAGGGTGACCACCTGTGCATGCTGCTTTGCCAGGGACCAATGAGTTATGCAGCATGGGACTTTCCCAAGGACACCGGGACTGATCCAGTATCCCAGGGGCTTTGGACTTCTCCAGAAGACCTCTGAGATGCCTTCCTGGCCCACCTAGAAGCTGCCTCCAGCCCAGGGCATTCAAGGTCATTATGAAATGTACCAATCCTAAAGAACACGGCAGGAAAGCAAAGCCTGCTTGACCCTGTTAAGGTAGCCAAGTGGATGTCCCGCACTGGAAGTCTCAATATTTATGGAAAGCAATGAGGTCTAATTTTAGAAACCATTAAGTTGTTATTTTTAAACTTGCACCATAAGGATTTTCTAATTTAAGCAGTGAGTGTTAATGACTCCCCCTGCTCCCACCCCTCCTATTAGCAGCAGCTGCTACCGGGATTAGGTAGAAACCCAGGCTCCCATGGCTTTGGGCCACTCCATGGAAAAATGACTTGGACTGAATGCATCTCCCTAGAAACCACACACAACTCCTGGATAAGCCCAGCCTCCTAGGAGTGCGTGTGGGGCTGAACTAGACTGGCCGTGCTGCCTGTGGCTTTTCCTGTGGGCCAACCTCTTGTGCATGTGGAGACTTTTGCTACAGGGATACAGGTTCAAAACAAGCAGGATTCCTAGTGCTGGACCCAGATGCATTGGTGGTCACCACTGAGCTGCCCAAGGTGCCGAGTTCCAGGAAGGACCGTGTGGTGGGGTCTGCATCTGGATTACCAGAGCTCCAGAAGTGCACTCCCAGTGGGCGCTGGGCAGCTTTGCTGCAGGTGTGAGCAGGATTCAGGGCAGCTTTCCCAGAGGCAAGTGCTTCTAGGAGTGTCTCGTTTGCAGGCCGTCTGGTGTGGAGGATAGAAGCATTGAGGATGTTTGAAGGAAGCTGAGTGACTAAGATTTCTCCTAGCTGGTAATATGCAAATGTACACTGTGATTTTCCCAGGAAAAGTGTCCTGGGAGGCATTTTCTAAACTCATCTGCCTTGAGCCAGGCACACACCTATGATGCCAACACTCGGGAGGCTGAAGCAGGAGGATTGCTGTGAGTTCAAGGCCAGCCTGGGCTTCATATAGCAAGACCTTGTCTCAAAAAACCAAAACAACTTTAGCTGCCTGCCCTCTTTTTGAAGAACACCTTGAAGTGAAATCACTCTGGCAAAATCACTTGGACTTTAGTTCCTCAATAATGCCCTGCTGGCAATGGTGAGAAAGGATTGGTTTTGCAAAAGATACTTTGTTTTTTAGAGGGTGAATGAGCTCCAGCGGGCGGCTCAGCCCTTAAACCCCAGGCTGGGAAGCCCTGTCAAAGGTCTGTATCGGGCAGCTGTGAAAAGCCCAACACCCACAGCGCTCTCACACTGGGTCTGCTTTTACACGTGCTGGCTCTGAAGGGTGAGGGGTTTTTTTCCATATAAACTTTTATACTGTTTTTTTTGTTGTTGTTTTTGTTTTTTGGTTCCAGGGATCGAACTCGGGTCCTGACGCTTGTGAGGCAGGTGGCAGAACCACTGAGCTAAATCCCCGGCCCTCCATATAAACTTTTATGTTGTCTCCTTCATCTGTAGCCTGTGAGCTACATTTTTCTTTTAAAGGCAAGCATGGGGCAAATGCCGGACGCCTCTGTAGGCAGAGGCTTTTCTCATTTTGCTCAGGGGCCAGGCTGCCTGGACCCTGGTTGGATGGATTCTGCAGTGTTGTTTCCATACTAAGCATCATTTCTTTTCTTTTCTTTTTCTTTTTAGAAGCAAAACATTTATCGGTACATTTTAGATATACATAGTGATCACATTCATCATGAGGAGATTACACCTGTGCATGATATGTCTTGCTTCTGCCTTTTTTTCCTATTCCCTTTCCCTCCTGTCAACCCCTCTTCCCCTCCTTATTTACAAAAGCTTTGCTTCCATTTTTTCCTTCTATTCTCTTTTTTCCTTATCCCTTGTTTCCTATATATATTTTTTTTGGTACCGGGGATTGAACTCAGGTCCTTGTGCTTGTTAGGCAGGTGGCAGAACCACTGAGCTAAATCCCCCACCCTCATCCCTTCTTTCCTTTCCCCCTCCCCTCTTCCTTGTTCCTCTTTTCATTTGAACATTTTCTTCCCATTTCTCAATATCTATTATACATTTGGTGTTTATTCCCACATTCAGTTTCTCACACCAGAAAAATAATACAGTATTTAAATGTGTGTCCAATTTATTCCACTTAAGAGTATGGTCTCAAGGTGCATCCATTTACCTAACAATGTCTCATGTTTATCCTTCTTTATGGCAGAGTTGTACTCCATTGTATTTTTAAAACCCACATCTTTATCCACTCATCAGTTGATGGGCATTTGGGCTATTTCCAAGATTTAGCTATTACAAACTGCTGCTGTAAACATGGGTGCGCATATGTCACTGTGGTATGATGTTAAGCATAATTTCTACAGCATCGGCCATTGGAGATGGCAGGGCCAGGACTGTGGGACAGATGTGCTGGGTACCGGTCCCTGCCCCTGCTTTGTGATGGCCCACTGTCCCAGATCCTGTGACACATGGCTCCCTGGTCCTTTTCCATCTGTGCCGGTGAAGAGGCGCCAGTCCGGGCTGGGAGCAGTGCAGGCTGCATGCAGGGTGGTGAGACAGGAGCCAGGCCTGTGAGAAGCTCCTCTTCCCAGGACCTGGAGGGCACTTCCGGCTGGGTGAAGAGAGGGACGACCTGGGCACTGTGGCTCCTTCCACTCTGGGCTGCCCTGTAGTCGGGGTGCACTGAGGAGTGATCGCGAAGGAGCTGTCTGCACATGCCTGGCCCCCAAATGCTTCTGACAGGATGGCGGGTCCATGGGGAGAGATGGCTTTAACCTGGATTTGCTCACTATAACTTTGCCAGAGAAAAGCAAAGAGCTACCTGGAAATAAACAACTGCTGTTGGCCCTTGAAAAGTGCAGAGTCGCCTGACTTTGACATTCAACAATTGAAGAAAATACCCGGTTCAAACAGCTCTAGGCCACCCCTGCCCACTGCCTCTTTGTTATTGTTTAGATATTTCACAAGGGCTTCATAAACTCAATGGAGATCTCAACTCTCCTACGTGAGATAAATTAGCAAAATGACCCAGCATACAAAATAGAATATCTTTAGTGCTGTGTCAGAAGGAAATCACTTTGATAGTATTTCCTACGGACATGCTGGGCACTGGGTTTCCTAAC